CGACCGATTTAATTATTTATTTTTTATCATACCAACCGATTTCGGTCGGTTTGTTACAATTTACAAAGAAACTCAAAATTATTATACATTTATAATTCCGACCGATGTCGGTCGCTATTTTGAAAAATAAATAAAAAATAATTTGAATAATACCGACCGACTTCGGTCGGTATGTTTAAATTTTGTTGTCAGTCAAAGCGTTGAGTTAATCGACCGATTTCGGTCGGAAAATTGCGACCGCCTTTGGTCGCAACACCTTAGCGACCATTATTTTTCCGACGAATTAAAAGCGATTGGAAATCGGTCGCTTTTCCTTTAATTCCGATCGATTTCGATCGGTTTTGGTGGACGAAATTTGGCAATTTTCTAGTAGTGAGCGAGCACGGTGATATGATCTCAATAGAAAGGAAAATGAAATCTTTACACAACGAACAGAGACCAAGTCAGCTGAGGAATTAGGTGTGTTGATTGAAGAAGACTTTGAAAGAAGCATCGGTTCTGCGCAGAGAAGCTTTTCAAAAGGAATAATTGGCATCGATTGCATAACGTTCACTAGCTTCAGCCCGAATGGAAACCATTCACCAATTGCAAAATTTACAGCCTCACAACAGTTAATGACAAACTCCCCCGGCATTTGCACAGCCTTATAAACAGGAACATCACATTTGTTGTTTTCTTTAGAAGAGAATTAAAAATCCCATTTTGTCCATCCATTGATGGGATTTCCTCATTATAAACATGATGCTGAAGGACATTCTCAAACTGCTGAACCAAGTTTTGGGTGCCCCACACTGATGCTGAAAAAGAGAAAGTGAAGCAAATATAGAAGAAAGAAATTGAATGATGAAACATCATCATCTCTAAAAATCAATATATGAACAAGAGAGCAAACGGGGTAATAAAAGGTAAATTAATCGAATAGCTAGTCCTTCCTCTTTCTCCTTCCCCATTTCAGGAAGGAAGGTTGATTTTATGAGTAGCCTATAGAGGTAGTGATCCTCCACATGCCAAGCAAACATGCTAAATAACATGGGTTCTGAACAATTTTTAAAAATTGAATTACTTGACAGGAAATGGTATTTCACTCGAGATTATCCACTACCGGCCGGATGTTATTTTCCAGCAAGTCGTAGAGGTTGCAACTTAAAACCCTTCTGCTCTTTTCAGCTGGAATGGAAGTACATAGACAACCTAAAACAGACTGACTGAATTAGCACAAGATATATACTCCCGGTCCCGGAGAAACAAAAATATATACATACATCCAGAGATTGTTATTTCATTTCTTCAAATTCTTCCTTGGATGGATGATATACGTACGGCACGGGCCACTCTTTCATTGTGTCAGTCCAATCAAATTCATTCCTAGTAAGCTGATTGGCTTTGTCTTTTTGTGCCATCATTATTACTTCTGCAATTCAGAGGAAAATGTTGAATTTCCAATCCATACTCTTTTACGCTTATATTGCCACCCTTTTTTTTACTCCCTTAACCATCCCTTGCTTCAGCCTGCAGAATTAAATAAATAACCATTTNATATATAACGAAGTCTTCATCTTATTTTACTCGTGTGAGCACGGCATAGACTCACTTTCATCAAATCTTAGAATTCTTGATAAAAAAAAAGTGTGCAGATTAAACTGAATAGATGAAAAAAAGTACTACTAAAGTAAGGAGGGATTTATGAGTACAGCTGAACTTGTTGCTTTAGACTCGAATTATGTATACATATTAAAAATGTACTCGCACTCCTTATAAATCCACCTATTCTAAATTCATGAATCGCCTCAAGACGAAAGGAGATTTCCAGAAGAAGGTTTACCATCTCGTAATCCAATTGTTCTTTTGCGGATAAGTAGAAGCGTACATGTTATTGTTGTTGTTGTTATTATTATTATTATTATTATTATTATTATTATTATTATTATTATTATTATTAAAATTTAAAACCACATTGACGGTTACTTTTTTCTTACATTAAATTTTTCTTAAAAACAAAATTGCAATGCGATGATCAAAATGTAATTTGAGTATATATTTTGAGATTTACATTGTTGTCTAATAGTAGTTGTTTACTCACATTATATCAAAGGTCAACCATCTTTTTTAACTTTCCTTCTCAAACGATCTTCAACCAATTCCATCCATAAATATATTTTTTCCCGAAAGTGTGTAGTTTGATGAGTCAGGGGTTGGGCTAGAATTTTTGGAGCCCATTTATAAATGAGGCTTTTAAGCCCGGCCCGAGTAAGTCTGTGGCCCGTGAGGCTTGACTGAGGCTGGGTCGGCCCGTGGACTTAATAAAAATATGTATTTGAAATATATAAAATATAAAAATTATACGACACAAAAAATATTAGGAAAAGTATCCAAGCTTAAAGTTTATTAAGCTCATCATATTAAAAGATAAAAGTCTTAAAACAATAATTATTTTTAAAAATTTAATTATTCTTAATATTTAACTAATTAATATTGCATATGAATTGTAGATGTAGATGAAAGTGAATATATTAACACAACATTCTCACAAGAGGATTCAAATGTGTTTGATGAAGATGATGTGTTGGATATCCCGTAAGCATCATGCACGTTCTCTTGAATAGTTTGTTTTGGGTTTTGACTTTTAATGAATGAAATATTAGTGTTGTCTTTTACTTTTTTAGTGTTTATCATATAGTTGAACAATATAAAAAGTTATTAAGTTTTGTGAAATTTTTCCAATAAGTTTTTTTAATTTTTAAATATTTATCTTTTTTAGGTTAGAACTTAAAGAAAAAATATAAAACTATATTTTAAAAAATGATGGGCTGGCCCGTGGGGCCCGCGGCTCACATAGGGCTGGGGTGGGCTGACTATTATAATGCCCATTAAAATGGTGGGTTAGCTCAGCCCATCAATTGCTAAATCACACGTACTGGGTAAGCTTGACCCAACCCATATTGACAGCTCTAATGAGTTACGAATGGAAAAGATAATAAAAAAAGGAATCGTAATATTACAAGCTCAACTTTAGTGATCATCTAACCATTACTGTCCAGTGAAACTATTTCTACTCGCTTTTAAATATGTGGCACAAAAAATTCATAATTTTCTAGACAGTTTGGTGGCCAATAGATCATGAGTTAAATCACTCTCGCTTACTAAGATTGATCAATACGAAGCAGATAAAGCGAATTTCAACACCAATTGTTAATACTCCTTCCATCTCAAAAAAATCCTAGTAATATTTGACTTGACACAAACTTTAATAAAGAAAAGAAAGACTTTTAAAATACAACAATAACATCCTAATATAATCCCACAAGTGGGATCTGGAGAGGGTAATATGTACGCAGACCTTACCCCTATCCCGAGGGGTAGAGAGGCTGTTTCCAGGAGACCCTCGGCTCAAGAGAGCAACAAGAGACGATATATTAGTACTATCAATAGACTCATAATAAAATAATATAAAATAACAAAATAACAGCAATATAAGAAATATAGGAAATACGAAAAGGATGGAAAGTATACTAATATCCAACAGATAAAGCCCTGCATCAGTAGCTGATCAGTAGCATCCTAAGACTAACTCCTAACTGGCTAGTCTCACTCTAGTGCGTTGTAGAAATATTCACAACTTGCCCCTAACCTACAACCTTAATGCTCAACCTCCACAATTCCCTGTCAAGGGCCATGTCCTCAGTAATCCTAAGTCGTGTCATGTCCTGCCTGATCACCTCTCCCCAATACTTCTTAGATCTCCATCTACCTCTCCTCGTGCCCACCACGGCCAGTCGCTCACACCTCTTCACTGGTGCATCAGTGCTCTTCCTCTGAATGTGTCCGAACCATCTGAGTCTTGCTTCCGGCATCTTATCCTCTATGGGAGTCACGCCCACCTTCTCTCGAATATCTTCATTCCTAATCCTATCCATTCTTGTATGCCCGCACATCCATCTCAGCATCTCATCTCTGCTACTTTCATCTTCTGGATGTGTGAGTCCTTAACCGGCCAACCCTCGGTCCCATACAACATAGCAGGCCTAACCACTGCTCTATAAAACTTACCTTTTAGTAACGGTGGCACTTTCTTGTCACACAAGACTCCCGTCGCTAACCTCCACTTCATCCACCCCACCCCTATACGGTGTGTGACATCCTTGTCGATCTCCCCGATCTCCTGAATAACTGACCCAAGGTACTTGAAACTACCCCTCTTAGGAATGACTTGAGAGTCAAGCCTCACTTCCATTCCGGCTTCCGTCGGCTCGGAAAGACTTTTAAAATATGTAGCCTTAAATAAGTCATATATCACTTATGTGACTGTAAAAATTTTAAAACTTGCTTTCTAAAACCTGCATAGCATTTATGTGACTATAAATGCTTCCAATTAATAAAATAGTAAAAGGTATCAAAATTTTTTGGAGCGGAGGGAGTATTCATTATGAAATTGAAATATTTTGGGAAGATCAAACAGATGTATCCCCTCCAAAGTGTAATTCATACTGATCATCATAGGTTGTGTAACTAGGGGTGGCAAACGGGCGGGTCGGGTCGAATATGGGACGGATCAAAACGGGTAATTAAAAAACGGATAAATTATCCGATCCGGCCCATATTTAATATGGATAAAAAAGCGGTTAACCGGCGAATAATATGGGTAACTATATAATCTATGATTTCTTGAATATGATTATTTTTGGGAGAGTTCCTAGTCTCCCAAACTTGAAAAACCCTCAATTTGAGGCTTTACATATGTAAAAGTTAAATCCATTAGGTATCCATTTTTTAAATGGATACTATGATTCTTTATCCATATTTGACCCGTTTTTAAAAAGTTCATTATCCAACCCATTTTTAATGGATAATATGGATGGTTAACTGTTTTCATTTAACTATTTTGCCACCCCTAGCTGCAACTATCCTTTACTTATCCCCGTCTACAGACTCAGAAATGGCCAGTCTAATCAACTAATGCGTTTGTCCGTAGAATTGTTGCATCACAATTTCAGGCGGCTGGCTACTCCCAAAAGCCAAATTCTAACAATTTTCTCCCAAGTGGAGGGACGGTAACAAGATTCAACTTTTGACATGGACTCGGATGGCCCAGCAAGAATATTCAAGGTTCCAATTCCCAGATTAAACAATGTCCTTGTATAACTAGCGCACCTAACCATACATAATAACAGGCTAAACTTCAAATCAAACAAGTGAAATTGTGCACCAGTTATTAAGAAATATTTTTAGGCAAGCTAAAAGATTAAGCCCTTAGGCGAAAGGGCCCTGGTAGGTTCCTCGTTTGGTGCAGCTTTTGGAGATTCTGAGGAGACGTGTACTTGAGCATCAGCTGAATTGCCTGCAGGGTCTTCCGCCAATCTTTCCTTCGTCTTCTGGCCAACTTCAGCTGCAGCCTTGGTGACCCGATTGAAAGCACCAGTTACCCATGATGTTCCAGTCAAAACATATCTGTTCTTCATGATGACAGTTCCAGCATTGTTAACTGTCTGCTCAGCAGCTGCAATTGCTGATTTTGTCTTTTCAGAAACCTGGAACTTCTGGTCAATTTCTTTCACTTTTTCATTCACAACGGTTGCTCCTGTAGTGATTTTCTCGCTAAGGCCAATTTTTTGGTCTAAAGAAGCAACTTTGGCTGAGGCAGTCGACGTGAACTGGTGTTTGTCGTCGAATGCTTTGGCCTTGTTAACTGCATCCTTGCCCAAGATAAAGCCCATTGCTAACATGCTGCTCACAACATCTTCTGCCTTTTGAATAGCAGATCCAGCTCCAGCTACATTTTTTATTTCAGTTGCCTGCAGAAATAAAAAAGGTACAAACCTGCTATGGACAACCATGTGATGGATAAAACAAGAAACAATGCCGTAAGTATTGAAATATACATACTGTAGGTAGCACTGAAGCAGTAGGCGGAAGCTGGTACTCAGGATCAAGGGCTACTGTGATGGACTGGCCAACAATTGTAGCTCCCTAGAAATCCCAAATAAGCTTATTAAACTAATATGTATAAACAAACAACAATTAAACTGTGTTCAAATTCAGCAACTTCATCCTATCACTACCATAAGACTTCAGATGGAACAAAGAAAAGGAGACAATTTAAACTTGTGTGCTCATATATACAACTGTTCTCTTTCCTTCCCATTTCTAGACAAACCAGGAATAACAGCATCCAGGAAACATAGAGTAATTTGAACTTTAATAACAAAGTTATCCCGACTCCTTTTAACAACCCTGGCGGACTAAATAAGGGGATAAAATATAGGGAGAAAAAAACTAAAAAAATAATAAAAATAAAAAGAGGGATTGCATAATCAAATAAAGTTATACTTGGAAGAAATTTATTAACAATATGATAAAGATTTACAGCTGCGAAAAGGCCGATGAAAGTAAACATACTGAAAGAAGAACTGCAGTCTCTGCACCCTGAGGATCCTTGAACATGACATAAGCAACTTGAGACAGCTCGTCCTCACTAGAGAAAGAATATAAAAGTAACTTGAATGAGGCAATAATATTAATCATCGATCAGTTACCATTACAATGGCTGCTTTTAAATTCTCATATGCAGATTTCTTTCTTCTTATTTCTTTATTATCCGAAGATCAAACTAAATCTAAATAAAATAAGCTTAGTGCTCAAAACAAATCCAAAAAAGAAGAAAACACTTGCTACAACAAACACTTACCTTCTCATCTCAACAAACTCTATATCCCCAGAAAATGAAAAGAACTCCTTGATGTCTTGTTGTGAAGCACCAAAAGAAACATTGCTGACTCTCACAGTTGTAACCTGTCACGACAAACAATTAAAAGGATTAGCATGACTTGAGAACACAAGACAAAGCGACTTCTTTCTTCTATCTCCTTCTTTTTGTCTTTTGCGTAAAATCTCATATAAGCTGGAATTTTCACTTATTGATAAAATGGAAGTTAGAGTACAATATCACGTATAAACTATTTACAGAATGGATACACTATTATCATTATATTAGTGTGAAATTTCATAAAACTCCTTCATAGAAGCAACTGAATCAAGTTGATTCACAAACCTTGATTCCTTAACGACACCTTTCCTGTGCCTTGTCTATGTTGGGGCAAGATTAGAATAGTCCAATTGTCTAAATGAGTGCAAGAGTGATATAAGAACAGAGTGTATACAAGTATAATCTAAAAAAATTATTAAGCATAGACGTGATGTAGCAAACTTGGCATTTCCCATGAGATCTGTTAAACCACCGGCAAACAGTGTGTATTCAAGAATGTATAATCTAAAAAAATGAAATAAATTCTTTTACGTAAAAGCCAAGCCAGCAAGGATATCAAAGGTGATCAAAAGAAAATATTGCACTAATCTGTATAATACAGTTTTTTACTCCATCAAATGCTACCATGTTTCTCTCTTTCCATGTTGTCCACATTAACACTAGCGGAGATGCTTCTCATGCTCTCTTTATATGCCTTTCCATCTGAATTTTCATCCCGGAAGCATAATCCATCTGCAACGAGGACAATGACATCTGCTCCTCATTACTTACACATGAAGCACTAACTATGTAGATTTTCCTTTTTCTCCCCTCAAGTTCATCGCTGGTAAGATGGCTCCCCATGCCGTTGTAAAGGTGAAGAAGGAAGTTTTTTTCAGGATCCAAATGATGAGTTTCCCTTTCAGCAATATGTTATAATTTTTCAAGTTCAAAAATAATATGACCTCACCGTGAAAATGCCATCCTTCCACCCTTCCCATATCCATCCATATCTGCCTATGAATGAGATTTCAAGCTTAACATAACAGCCCGAGCAATATCTTACGATCCTTCATTTCCAAGTCCTACATTTTTCTTCTATAATTTAGATCCAAAATTTCTCCTTGTTCCTTGTATATCTGAGCCACTGCTGATGATAAAAATAATGGAAATGAACATCAATTGACCATCTTTGTTCCCAAAAACTCAGGGTAGTCTCTGTACAAATGGGACATTCCTATAGAAATCATCCTAAGCATTCATTATGCTCCTCCATAGTGCTATACCGTACAGCTAGGCTATTTGTTTGGTCATCCTACCCCATTTAAACTCCATATTTGTGGAACTAGATCGTTCTCCACAGCACTTGATCTACTACTCCAAACTTCCAATTCACATTCCTTATAGAACTCTGCTGAACATCCCCTCAAACTCTTGTCCCTAAGTCTCTCATCATCAAAGGAGAAGTGACTTATCCCAATTGACAACATAGTGACTTTTACACCTTGCCATCTCGAGTTCCACAGAAAATCTCTATTTAGTATCCTCAAACTTTGATAGGTCTTATTCCTAGACACGGTGCTCTTAATCAATCTCATTCCGGCTTCCAACAAAAATCATTCACCACCCTGATAACCTCTTTTCGACTCTGTTAATCACTCAACTTCATGCAACAAAGTTCTTACGCATTGCACCCAGATGTAGTCTCAATTAAGCCGCCATAAAGGATCCAGACATACAAAAAAATCATTTGTCAAATGTTAGATATTATCCAATAGGAATAATTTGACACTTCTTCTGATTTATCCTGAAACCCGAGAATACTTGAAATGCTAGCAGTGTGCTCTTTAGATCATGAACCAGCTTATATGACACTTTTTTCACTCTACGATGTCCTAAATGTATCATTTCATGCACTAATAAAATTTCTATATGACTTTCACAAGTTTTAACAATTCAAATTCATCTAGTTTTCCAAATTTTAAACTTTGTATGATATTTTCTGTATGAAACTAATTTTGCTACTATTACTTTAAATTGTATTAGTAATGTATTTAAATGTTAAATTAACATTTTAATGTGTCAAATCAACCAACCATTATATAAAATAGGACTAACACGTGAAAGCAACCTCAAATATCGAAGAACATAAACCAAATTTCACTTTTCACCTTAGATTAAGGCAACATACATATTTTTTTTAAAAAAAAACAAAGTACAAAGTACAAAGTACAATTATAGATTATAATTTACAGAATTATAGATTGAAACAAGTGCTTACTGTTTATTTAGAAAATATAATTAGCATATTTCCAAAGCTGATTATGCTATGACAATTAACTTAACTTTATATCTTTGATTTATATTAGAAACAAAATGGCAGAGGATTTATCCCGTGGTAATCGAAAGGATCCCAATTGGAAATATAATCACTTGAATGATCCCAATAATACCACGAGAGTTACTAGTAATTTTTGCGGGTAAACAACTACGGTATAAATCGGGCAAAACAACATCTAGTTGGAAATTTCAAAAATACAACAAAGTGTACCTGATGTCCTCCGGAAGCTCGGGAAGAATTGAAAGCTTCCATGGAGAGAAAAAAAATTAAGGAAAGATATTTCTGCTATAGAGTATCTTAAACATGATGAGTCTGATTATTAAGATGTTTATGAAGAGGATGAAATCATTCCTAAAAGAAAAGGTGGGGGGGAAGGGGGGAACCCTTCCTGGTGGACTTAGTAAGAAATTAGCTAAGGGTAAAGGAAAAGGCCCTATGGGTGTATATTTGCAAGGTCAAGGGCAACTTAGGCAGACATGTATCAAAGATTCATATGACAAAAAAGCAAGAGCAATGACTATCCAAAAAGTTGCTCATTTCTTTTACGATGCTGGCATACCATTCAATGTTGCTCATCTGAAAAGCTTTAAGGAGGCTATTGATGCTATTGAAAGGTATGGACCAAATTTGAAGCTTCCAAGTTAACATGAATTAAGGGTTCCATTACTAAATAAGGAGGTAGAGTTGACTAATGAACTTTTAAATAGACATAGAGAAGAATGGGTAAAGCATGGATGTTCCATTATGGCAGATGGATGGACAGATAGGAAGCAAAGAACATTAATAAACTTTTTGGTGAATTCTCCATGTAGTACAATGTTTATGGAGTTCATTGATGCATCTTCATTTAACAAAACTAGAGAGAAACAATGTGAGCTACTTGATAGATATGTGGAGCGTGTTGAAGCAAAATGTAGTTTAAGTTGTAGTGATATTGGCAGCAACTTTATATTGGTTGGTAAGTATTTACTTTAAGAATACTCAAGTTCTGATTTCTCATATATGTTACTATATAATATAATTAAGTATTCTCTTTTTATTTTAGGCCAACTCCTACAACAAAGAGAAAACACATATACTGGATGCCTTGTGCAACTCATTGTATAGATCTTATTGTAGAAGACATAAGCAAGCTTCCAGTCATTAAGAGAAGTATAACTCTCAAAAAAGCAATTGCAGTTGTTGATATCATCTATGGTCATACATGAGTCATTAATATGATGAGAGACTTCACAAAGAGAAAAAAATTGGTGAAATACGGAATTACTCGATTTGCCACGAGTTTTCTAACTTTGCAAAGGCTACATAATCAAAAGACTAAATTTGCAAACCATGATTACATGGGTAAATAGTAAATGGCCAAGAAAACCACAGGGAAAAGTTACAACTCATACTATATTAATGCCTGCATTTTGGAATCAAGTTGTTAACATATTGAAGATAATGGGACCTCTTAGAGCTAAAGAAGCCATCACAAAATCATTTGAGGAGAAGTCTAGAAAGTACAAAGATATTTTTGAGATCATTGATCAAAGATGGGAATGCCACTTGACCATTACATGCAGGCGGACATTATTTGAATCCAGAGTATTCTATCAAGATCCAGCCATTGAGAATTGTAAAGAGAATAAATGGACTATATGCTTGTATTCAGAAATTGGTTCCGTGTATTGAAATTCAAGATACGAATGTATCTGAATTACCGTTATATACAAGAGCTTAGGGGCAATTTGGACTTCCAATGGCAAAAAGATCAAGAGCAACGAGGTCTCCAGGTACATGAAAATTCAATTACAAATAACCATTCAAGGCTTCACGTACAATATTTACTTACACTAAGTTACTTATATCTTTTTCAGCTAAATGGTGGAATCTATATGGAAATTCAGCCCCTCATCTCCAAAATTAGCAATTAGAATCTTGAGCTTAACCGTTGGTTCAACTGGTTGCGAGCGTAATTAGAGTGTGTTTGAACATGTGGGCTACATATAACTATTCCTTATTTTAATTTATTTGGTTAATTAATACAAACTTACAATGTTACTAACAGTAAGTAAAATAATTCATGTGCAGATCCATAGCAAGAAGAGGAATAGATTAGAGCATAAAAGATTGCATGATCTAGTGTATGTCAAGTATAATTGTGCTCTAAGTACTCACTTTGACTTGCGGAATATCATCGATCCAATCTCATTGGATTATAGTGATCATAGTAATGAGTGGTTGGTTGGAGAAATGGGGGTAAGTTTTGAAGCAGAGGATGAATTGGTGTTTGAGGGAGATGATAACTTAACTTGGGGCGATGTGGCTAGAGCATCAGGAATTGAAGATGCGCAAATGTAACGGCACGCCATGTCCTTTTACTTTCTAGAGCATCGTTCCCCTATTTAAGACTTATCGTATGTGCTTTTACTGTTTATGACTAGCGGGGATGGTTGGTTTGGCTTTGGAAGGGTTCGGGTTAAATTCGGAACACTTAGTTTCATAATAGTGGCCTATGGTGACCAAGTTTGACTTGAGTCAACACTTTAAGTAAACGATCTCGGAATCGGGATTTGAACAGTGACGAAGTCACATGTTCATAAGGGTGGTCAACTGACCACCCTTTATCAGAAAATTACACTATGTATATAGGTAAAATATTATGTTTTAAAGGTATATAACACATATTGAACACCCTTTGTCGGAAATTTTTTCACTTATTTCAAATTTGAATACCCTTGGGAAAATTCCTAACTTCGCTACTAGATTTGAAGGTCTCAATAGGTTCGTACGATGATTTTGGACTTGCGCGCATGCTTGGATCGAGTTTCAGGTGGACCAGGAGCGTTTCGGCGCTTATTGTTGAATGTTGGCGTCTTGAAAGTTTTAGAGTTTTCTAAATTTGATTTGAAGTAGACTTTAGTGCTATCAATGTCTGTTTGGGATTCCAAGCCTTGGAATAGGTTCGTATTGTGATTTTTGACTTGTGCGCAAAATTTGGCACCATTCCGAGTTGTCTAAGTATCGTTCATCGCATTCGGAATTGGTTGAAATGAGTTTGAAGTTTAGAAGTTGATTAATTTGATTTTGAGGTGGGATTCTTGGTTCCGATGTTATTTTAAGTGTTACGAGACTTCGAGTAGGTCTGTAGTATGTTTATGGACTTATTGGTACATTTGGAGGGGAGCCCGGGTGGCTCGGGTGAGTTTCGGACCACCCAGAGCAAAGTTGAAGTTGGCTGAAATTGCTGGTGTGTTGGTGTGCTTCGTGATGGCGAAGGTTGTCCCGCGATCGCGAAGAAGGCTGGATAGGAGTCTGAGATATTGCTCTTCGCGAATGCGAGGAGGGCCCCGCAAACGCGATGGAGGAACTGGTTCCTCTTCGCGAACGCGAAGCCACGGCTGGAAGGCTATTGGCCTTCACTTCTGGGAGATGGTGCATCGCGAACGCGACTGGTCTGTTGCCAACGCGAAGAGGAGCTGGCTACTTGTTGGTATATGGACATGTAGGTCAAAGATTTTCTTTTCCCGAAAAGGTCAGAGACTGAACATACAAAGAAGTCGAGGCTTAGGAACAAGCATCTAGTTCAACCTTTCAGGATGGAGGAACATAAGCAAAAGCAGAGTGCATGGTCGGTCTCCTAGTACACTGAAACTCCCTCTGCATGCACACCATCTAGGTGGAGCAAAATCACCCTCCATGTCTCACACTTTCATCAACTACAGTTGGCAGCCTATGACAAGCAGAAAGAATGAGTAATCCCATACTTGTTTCTTTTGGAAAAGAGATAACTTCCTACGTACAGCTGTGGAAGAGTGACCAAGTGATCAACCCGGAGCAGCCATTCTATAGCCTCGAACAAGTATAAAAGGGGAACTCCGAACTCCTCCATGACCAAAAAGGGGAAAGAGGGCCGGGGACAGCCCTTGAATACATTAGTGCAAGACTTTTGTTTCTATTTTGAGCAGTATTTTTATCTTACCTGCCTTGATTATCTAATAATGAACATTACTAACTTGAATGTCGAAAGGGCACTAGTTCATCCGGTCCATCACGGACATATGTTGACTTTGTTGATTTGTGAGGGTCGTGCTAGTGGCCCAACCCCAGAACCAACCGAAAAACTCGTGTGCATTAGAATAGAGATCTTGGGAGGTCATTCGCAGATCATCGTAGAGACCAATATTTGGAAGCAACAACTAATATTAGTTGTTCAACAGTACTGTTAGGCAGTAGCTAAAACCCATGTGTTAGGGTATCACACAGCAGAGAGAGAAAACAACCAGGAAAAGATTGAAGGTTAACTCAACAAACAGCCAAAAAGAAAAAAGGGAAATCTAGTGCAGCACACAGCGAATGACCTCTCGCTCAAACACAATTAAAAAAACAAAACACACTTGATTGGATCAAATAGAACAGACGGTCACAAATGTAGGAAAAAAAGGTGATTTACAAACATAAAAAGAACTATATAAGGAAAAAACAGCAGCGAATAAATGGTTAAGGTACTCACCGACATTGAATAGCAGAAAGCAGACCGCAGATCAAAACCACGAAAAGAAAGACTGACTTGGGGGATTCAAAAACACAGTCCAAGACCGCTAGGGGACTGATTACACCTTGGAACGTCAACGTGAAACGTGCGAGAGAAAATAGAGAAAATGGACACACACACATCGACGTGCAATTTACGAGGTAAGTGACATTATGGCGAATCTTTTTTGGTTAAAATATCTTTTAGGGGTAGTTCGGTACCATGATTAAGCAAAAATAATGCTGGTTAAAAATTTAGTACCTTGTTCCTTGTTTAGTTACTAATTTTGGAATAAGTTATCCCAAAATTAAATATAGTATCGAAATAATTTATTAGTACTTGTCAGATGGTGGAATAGTAATCTCAGGATAAGCAGTAAAATTGATAATTCCATAATTAATTCAACATACTAAATAGTCAATAAGAAATAATACTATGATAACTAATCCCAGATTAACTAATAACAGCATAACATGTCTTTAAACCATACTAAAGATTAGTATTATGATCCTTGGCTGCCGAAATAACAGGTCGTTGCATGACAAAGAGGTATCGAGTTCCCGGAATTCCACTTATACTAGACTTTCAGAGTATAATTTCAATGTTAGCTTAATGGAGCTGGTATCGGCAATGAGAAACATCAAGGAAGCACGGTTCCTGAGGCCGATGAGATTCGATCCCAGCCAAAGGGATCCTAATTTATGGTGCGAATATCACGGGACTCATGGCTACCAAACTGGGGACTGCTGGCATCTGCGCGAGGAGGTGGCAATGTTGTTGAAGAATGGCCATCTCAGGGAATTCTTAAGTGATCGGGCCAAGAACAATTACGGTCACAGTCGAGACAGCGCAGAACCATCGAAAATAGGGGAAGACTCTCGTCGACTAACTATTAACATGATTTTCGAGGGGAACGAGATCAATGGTGTAACTTTCACAGTAGCCAAGAAGACAAAGGTATCAGTGACTCATAGCAAGAGACTTCGAGAAGTCGCCGAAGATGACATCACCTTCATGGAAGAAGACGTTGATGGACTTCTTCTTCCGCACAACGATGCCCTCGTAATTTCTCTTAACATTCTAGATTTCAAAATTAAATGTGTTTTGGTTGACCTAGGAAGTTCTGCCAACATCATTCAATGGAATGTGCTAGAACAAGCCAAACTTACAAGAAGCATCATTCCGGCAACAAAGCTCCTCATCGGGTTCAATTTAGCGAGCTTGACAACCCGGGGGGAGATCTTGCTACCCAAGAATGTCGAAGGGGTCACAAAGACCACCTCATTCAATGGATAGTGACATGTCTATAACATAATTCTCGACAGACTATGGTAACATGAGATAAAAGATGTGCCATCGACATATCACCAATTACTGAAATTCCCAACTCCAGAGGGAATCAAACAAATAAGGGGAGATCAACTGACAGCAAGGGAAATGAACACGGTATCGATTTCCAGCAGTAAAGGGAAGTAACTCAACACATAGAAATTATAGGAATCGATGCCTACTCCTAAACCAAGCGAAGATGACAAAGGGGATGAGTCGTCGGAATCTCACCGGGTACCAGGTATTTTCAGGTACCGAAAGAAACAGACACGACTAAGTCCACAACAAAAGAACTCGAACAAGTGGCTTTGTTCAAAAAATTCCCGGAGAGAAAATTTCACTTGGGGACAGGATGCAACCCTGAGCTCAGGTCAGGATTTATTGATTTCCTTAAAGCTAACATTGACTATTTCGCATGGTCGCACACTGATATGACAGATATCCCACTAGAGGTAGCCATGCACAAGTTAAGTTAGGACCCAAGCATCCCACTTGTAAGGTAGAAGAAGAGCCCAATAGTCGAGGTCAGAAACAGGTTTGTCAAAGAAAAGGTAACTCGATTACTTGATATTGGTTCAATTCGGGAGGTAAAGTATCCCGACTGGATAGCTAATGTAATTGTAGTTCCAAAAAAGAATAAGAAATTTTGAATGTGCATAGATTATAAGGACTTGAATAAGGCATGTCTGAAAGACTCGTTCCCACTGTCAAACATCGATCAAATGACTGACATAGAGTTAATGAGTTTCTTTGATGCCTATTCTGAGTACAATCAAATTAATATGAACATGGAGGATTAGGAAAAAACTTCGTTCATAACGAAATTTGGCACATATTATTATAATGTGATGCCCTTCGGGCTTAAAATTGCAGGAGCCACTTATCAGAGGCTTATGAACAAGATGTTCGAAAAATAGGTAAAACAATGGAATTATACATAGATGATATGCTGGTCAAGTCTTTGAATGCAGGTGACTATTTAAAACACCTCTAAGAAATCTTCGATATCCTAAGGCAGCACAACATGAAGCTCAACCCCGAAAAATGCGCGTTCGGAGTTAGCTCCGATAAATTCTTGGGTTTCATGGTGTCACAAAGAGGGATCGAGGTAAATTCTGATAAGATCAAATCCATCAAGGACATCCCAGACCAGCTAACAAGCGTGAAATAAGTCCAAAGGTTAACCGAAAGATTGGCCGCTCTAAGCAGGCTCATTTCTTAATCTTCAAAAAATGTCATCATTTCTTCTCGCTTTTGATGAAGAAGAACAATTTCGAATGGACTCCATAAGAAGACCTGAAACTTTATCTATCAAGCCCTTCGTTACTATCAAAATCGGTTTAAGGTGAATAGTTGCTGATAGACTTACGATCTCGGGGGTAGCAATATGTGCCATTCTAGTCTAGGAGGACGAAGGTATGCAATATCCTGTCTATTATGTTAGCAAAATCTTTTCGGGAGCGGAAACTCGTTATCCGCACCTCAAAAAAATGGCTTTATCCCTCGTAGTCGCTTCTCGAAAGCTTCAGCCTTATTTTAGTGCCACCCGATTGTCGTGGTGGCAACCTTTCCCCTGCGGAATATCCTTCACAAACCTGAGTTGTCAGGGCGGCTGGCCAAATAGGCAGTTGAAATTAGTGAATTTGATATTGAGTATAAGAAAGCGATCAAGTCACAAGTTTTAGCTGACTTTCTAGCCGATTTTAGTCCCGGGTTACTGCCTCTGGCTGCGAAAGAGGCGGTGATGATGTCAGAAATGACATTATGAGTTTGGACCTTGTTCATGGACGGAGCTTATATAGTGAAAGGGTCCAGACTCGGGGTGGTCTTAATCACGTAGGAGAGACCTTGAGGCAGGCTAAAAAATGATTCCTTTAACTAACAATGAAGCCGAGTATGAGGCATTGATTGCAGGACTCAAATTGGCCTGGGGACTGGTCTCCGAGGTCATAAAGTTCAAATATGATTCATAGTTGGTGGTAAACCAAGTTTATGGGATCTTTGACACAAAAGAGGAAGACATGCAACAGTAAGTGATTAAAGTTCAAACTTTACTCACACGGTTCAGGGAGTGGTCAATCACCTACATCCCAAGAGAAGAAAATGTGAAAGCCGATGCATTGGCCAATTTAGGGTCATCCACGGAGATAAAGGGATCAGATTCTAGTACTGTTGTGCAGCTTATACATTCGGTATTGGATGTGGACGGATATAGTGAAGTAAATACAAACAACCTAGTCTAGGACTAGAGGAATGAGTTTATCGATTACCTTTAGCACGACAAGTTGCCTGAAGAATCGAAGGCATCAAGGGCACTCCGTGCCAAAGCAGCTTGGTATAATTTCTGGGGGAGGGGGGCAGTTATATAGAAGGTCATTCCAAGGTCTGTTGGCCCGATTTTTAGGAGCCTCAGAGCCTGAGTACGTCATGAGAGAGGTTCTTGAAGGAATTTGTAGGAATCATTCCAGTGCAGATTCATTGGTCCTAAAATTAGTTAGGATCGGGTAATTTTGGCCACGGATGGAGCAAGATGCGAAGGCATTCGTTCAGAAATGCAACAAGTGTTAGCGCCACGCACAGTTGGTACACCAACCGGAAAAACTCTTGCATTCGGTACTGTCCCCATGGCCATTCATGAAATGGGCGATGGATATAGTTGGACCGCTGCCATCGGGTCCCGAAAAGGTAAGATTTCTTTTAATTTTAACTGATTACTTCAATAAATAGGTTGAATCAATTCCTTACCAAAAAATTGGTGTGCGCGAAGTGGTCGATTTCTTGTGGGAAAACATTATTTGCCGGTTCGAAATACTGAAGGAGATTGCCTGCAACAACGGACCATAGTTCATAGGCTTCAAGGTCACAAAATATCTTGAAGACTTGGAAATTAAAAGTATCACATCTTTATCATACCATCCGAGCGCAAATGGGCAGGTCGAATCAACCAATAAGGTGATTATTCAAAGCCTCAAAAAAAGGTTGGAAGTAGCCAAAGGCAAGTGCTTGAAGAGTTATCGAGAGTGTTGTGGGCATACCGTATGACGACTAAGTCGAGCATGGGAGAGACAGTTTATTCTCTCGTATACGGTGTAGAAGCTCTGATCCCTGTGGAAGTAGGAGAACCGACCTTGCGGTACTTCCGGGCAGACGAAGAAGCAAATAATGAGGCATTGCTTGTAAAATTGGAGCTTCTTGATGAATGTAGGGACTTGGTGCACATAAGGATGGTGGCCTAGAAACAAAGAATGGAAAGATACTATAACCGGAGGGCCAATCTCTGCTACTTTAAAATGGGAGATTTGGTTTTGAGGAAAGTGACTTGGAACATCCGAGAGCTCAATGTAGAAAAGCCAGGTCCGACATGGGAAGGCTCCTATCGGGTTTCGGCTATCACCAGGATAGGGTCATACGAACTAGAGAACCATGATGGAGTCAAATTGCCAAGCAACTAGAACGTGACTCACCTCAAAAGGTATTACTGTTGACGGATCCTGCTTATACTGAAAGTATGTGCTGCACTCTTTTTCCCTTCGTCTAGTTTTTATCACAATTGGGTTTTTTCTAGCAAGGTTTTTAACGAGACAACAACAGAAAGCATACTATGAAGGAAACGTCACCAGAGTTAAGACTTTTAAATTATAAGGAATTGAAATAACAAAACACTACAGGATGGTTTGATAGTCTTTGGATCGATGGCAAATTCCTATTGGGAAATAAAACTTGCCATCGGACCAAAGGCTATTCAACCGTTCACAAGTATTTTTCCTCAGAGGAGCAAGACTTCCATTGTTCCAATTCACATACTTTTCATTCGAACACTGGGGGGATATTACGAGAATATGACAACATAATTTCCATGAAAACTTAGACTGCGAGACCTAGGAGCAACAATGTATCATCGGTACCGGGGACTGCACATCTAGCCCCGTAGAAATAAGTTGTACAAGTTAGCCACATGTATTGGCAATTTCTTTTTTAAGCAAACAAATTCTTATGTACTTTGAAGATAGAAGGAATTAAAATGAAGTCCTTTTATTCTTATCTTGTTTCTTGTCCAAATGATGAACTGTTTTTATCATTTGAAAGTTAACTTAAAACTTCAAATGTTAGTGTCGAAATGAACAGGAGACATCCTCTTCAAGAGAATCATAATGATAAGAGGGACCTCTCTTATGAAATCTCCATAGTAAAGGGTTAATTCCCGAAGAGTTTATGCCCGGAACCAAAGGCTATCGAAAGAAAACACACCCGAAGCCTTACTTAATTCGACGCAAAAAAAGAATGAACTTTGCGCAATGCTTAAACAAAAGGTCCTATTTATTTATCAAACATGCCAAACGGCATAAGTAAAAAAATAAAGGAACAGAACAAAAGAAAATAAATCAAAAAAGCTAAACTACATCGCCACCGAAACTCGGGAAAGAGAGGCATCTACTTCCCTAGGAGAAGTCGGCGGATCTGCCGCCACGCAGGATCTTGGTCTTCAAGTTCTTCCTCGATTTATGAGAACTTGGAACCAGTACTAGAAGATTCAATTGTATCAGTCTGAGCCAGACGCGTTCTTGAGTAGTTAACTCCAGTGTTCCGGCCTTGGCGATCTCATTGTTGATATCAATAACACCCCATTTGGCCTCTTCCAAGGTTTTACTCCTTATATGGTACATAGAATGTGTTTTTTTAATGATGAGGGAATCCTATTGGTGTTGACGTTTTGCTTTAAGCCTATCAACCTCGGTCAAAAATCTATCCCGCTCAGATCTCATGGCACTGAAGCTAAGATCGAGATCATGGATTGTGGTTATGTGAAACTTATTTTGTTCCATGATCTTCGTATACCTATCTTCCATCCGAGACCACTTCTCCTCGGCAACAGCAACCTCTTCAACTTTGGAATTCAAAGCTCCTCCAAATTATTTGCTCGTTCAATGAAGCAGACTCGCACTTAGTAGCAACAAGAGCAGCATCTT